GTCCTGGAGAGAAGGGTCCATCGGATAGTTGAACCTCAGGTTCAGGAAGAGCAGTGTGGTTTCCGTCCTGGTCGTGGAACACTGGACCAGCTCTATACCCTCAGCAGGGTCCTGGAGGGTGCATGAAAGTTCACCCAACCGGTCTACATGTGCTTTCTGGACTTGGAGAAGGCGTTTGACCGTGTCCCAAGGGGGGCCTTGTGGGGGGAGCTCCGGGAGTATGGGGTACCGGGCCATTTGATACTGGCTGTCAGGTCCTTGTATGACAGGTGTCAGAGTCTGGTCCGCATCGCCAGCAGTAAGTCGGGCTCGTTTTCGGTGAGAGTCGGACTCCACCAAGGCTGCCCTTTGTCACCAATTCTTTTCATTACTTTCATGGACAGAATTTCTAGGCGCAGCCGAGGTGTTGAGGGGATCTGTTTTGGTGGCCTTAGGATTGCATCTCTGCTTTTTGCGGATGATGTGGTCCTGTTGACTTCATGGGAACAAAATCTGCAGCCCTCGCTAGAGCGGTTTGCGCCCGAGTGCGAAGCGGCCGGGATGAGGCTTAATGGTTATTGCTCAAAAACTATTACACAAAGGAGCTTCAGATTTTCTGTGCTTGTTTAAATCTGATGAGGGGCTATCTTTCAGGTCAACTAATGCCCCCCCCCCACCCAAACCACTACAATTTTGGGATGCACCTAGTAGCATGACATTTATTAGGAATAAAGACTTCTAAGTTCTGGAGTGTTTGTGCGTGCGGGGGTCATTATGTTACCGCTATGCAGTATCTTGTTTGACACACAGTCTACGCCAAGAAATCTCAATCAACCAAGAAATGTGCTCCGGTCTGAATGTTGTTGAAGCTAATATCATCTTAGTATACTGTACCAGGCTCACTATCATACATTATTACTATCAAGATAAAAACAGCAAAAACATATATTACCCACATGCACACACATGCAAATAACAGTTTTTGCAGTTTACTTTCAATGTAAGATGACGCAATCTGTCTCTGGAAACGTCTCGATCTCACTTTTCCAACTCTGTGAATGCGGCTGTAACAAGATTAAAAAGAGCGTGTACGATGTGAAAATCGGCCTACACTGAGCAGCGGATCCGCACTTCTACGGTACGCAATCTGGAGGTGGGCCGTCTTTCATGCGCATGTCATTTATCAATGGCGGACCCGGATGCTTGAGGGTGGATCCGCCCCGGAGTCCACTGCTCTCTGGGTTGTCATCCAGTGGATGATGAGTGTCAAACAGCAGGTACTGGTCTGTGTGGGTAGGTTTCTGGTAAACTTCAATGTTGAGGCTTCCATCTCCTTCTTCCTTGCGTCCCCTTGTTCACCTCCACTAAATGTCTGCTGACCACCAAATGTTGAAGAAGCAGCTCAGCCAGTCAGCATCTCAAATAAGAGTTTATTTTTGTTTTAAAGTCTCCCAAAACCAAAATAGTGTCCCTTTCTGGTGTCAATTTGTATCTGGACAGCAGTAAATACAAATATATAGGAAACCTGAGTTGTACATCTATTTTATATTATTAAATACTGTACATTTGTTGGCATTATCACATGGACATTTGCTGAGGGATACTATTGTTTTTCTTCTATATAATTAATTCAGCATCACAAATTACCGAAAAAGCTTGGTTTTTGAGTATAGGAAAGAACTGGAGAGTCTGGTGAGAGCCCCATATAGGCTTAATGGCTAAATCACTTCAGCTAAACACATTTAGGGAATTTTCTGAAACATTAAATTATTTTATTGAAGTAGAATAAAAAGATTTAAAATAATCTGTTGAAATCCAGATTATTTATCAAACATCACTATGAACATTCTGTTAAAAACAAGCAAAAGGCAGTTCTTTGTATAGAAATTTGTTTTTCAAACAAGTAGATTTGTAGACAAAAGGGCCCATAATTCCAGAAAAAAACTTCATATGAATCTAAAGAACAACTCAGGTTTAGGGAGTTAATACCGCAAAATAAATTTATTCTAGTTTTCCATTTTTATTATGTTCACCAGTTTCTACAGAAAACACAGATCTCCACACCCTGACAAACATAATATGACTTGGGTTCTGTTGGGACAACAGTAAAAATCTAGAGGAACATCAGGCAAAAAACTCCTGAACTTGGAGTTGGGTGTATTATTCTGAATCTTCTGTTAGTGATGAGGACCCTGATGAGGAAAATGTGCTGCTCAGGAAAAAAGATTACAATGAAGTGAAGATTTAGCACAATCAGCGGACTTCCATAAAGAGATAGTATTTTTATTAATTTGCATTCATAATAGATGTGGATGTTTTTGTACACAGACCTGTCTAGTTTTTTTCTTATTTTATTAATCTATATGAATATCAAGATAATGGCAATAAAATGTGTTATTGTTAAAAGAAATATTTTTCATAACAATAACAACAAACTTGTAACAAACACAAAGCAAAAAATACAAAATGAATTCATCTTCACTTGACAAACAAAGTTTTGAGATGTGTATAAATTTTGGTCATTTTTAGTCCGTATATAATTGGATTGGAGAAAGGATTATATGTTATCAATTGTAGCATAATTACAAAATGTGCAATTTTGGAAATATCTGATTCCAGTCTAACTATGATCGTGTCAAATGTAACCAAACCAGAGTAATTAATTAAAACCAGCAGGTGGGGCAAACAGGTCTGTGCAGCTTTTTTCCTGACTTCTTTGCAACTTTTATAAGCAATTATAAGAATGACTGTATAAGTGAACATTATAAAGATTATAGGAAGATTGATATTAAACAGAATTACTAAACCAAATATCAACAGTGCTCTTGAACGCACACAGAAATGATAGTTTAGTAAGTTGTTGCAATAAATTCCTTTCAAAGTAAAGCTGCAGAGTTTTTGATTAGCATTCCCTATGACTGTCACAGCAAGATGACAAAACGGTATAAGCCATGATAATACAAGGAAAACACATACAGTTGTTTTTCTCATGATAGTGTGATATTGCAAAGGTTTACATATAGACACATATCTGTCAAAGGCCATGGCTGCCAGCAGTAAAAACTCTGAACAACTCAAAGAGTAGAAAACATAAACCTGGAAGAGACAAGCTGGATACGATATGACCTGTTTTTCAGATAAAACATCAATCAAAAGTTTTGGATAGACTCCTGTACTGAAAAGAACAGAGTTGATTAACAAAGCAGCAATAAAAATGTACATGGGCTCATGGAGGTTTTTGTGAATCACAATAAGACACACAATAGTAGAATTACTGCACAGTATCAAAATATATCCTATGAGCATGATGACAAAATAAACAAACCTATATTTTTCTAACTCCACATAACCATCAAGAGTAATGTATGTAACATTCATTTCAGTATTCAAGAACATCTTAAAAGTCCTTCATTGATGGAACAAAGTGCTTAAAAGCACCACAAAAGTTAAAAGCATATACAGCTGCAAGAAATAATTTGACTAGGTTTACAGTTATCCATTACTTTCAAGTGTGTGATGTGTTTATCTTTAGAAAACAGTAAGACCAAATATTTAAAATCACTTCTTTATTCACAGTAGATCTCATTATCTATTACATGTAGAGCTGTTGGCATGTCAACAACTTCATCAAGCAGACTGCCTTTTTTACCAACAGGAGATGCAGGAATGTAACTCTACACTGCCTAGTCGTGGCACAGTACCTCTTCCTGGTCATCACAACCAGTAATCTTAACTGACCTGGCTGTATAGACCTGGCTTTATTGCACCGTAAAGGCATTTTTAAAAAGGGAGTCTGGAGAGAGTGTTCCAACTATCATAGGAACACACCTCTCACCCTCCCTGGGAAAGTTTACTTTACCGCAGTGGTTCTCAATCCTGGTCCTCAAGGACTACTATAATGCATGATTTATGTTTCCCTGCTTTTTCACACTTGATTTAAATGAATGAGTGATTGTCAGGCTTCTGCAGAAATTAAAAACTTACTGAAGAGCAGGGAAACAACTATAACTATATACTCTTTTAAGAAACATCTTAAGACATTTTTATTCAGATAGGCTTTTAGTTAAGTGCTTTTTATTGTGTTTAATTGCTTTTTTTATATCTGTGATCTGTTTCATTGTTTTTAGTTATTTTTGCTTTCTGTGAAGCACTTTGTGTTTATGTCTGTGAAAGGTGCTATAGAAATAAAGTTTACTTATGCCACTTTTCCACTAGTGCCACTTAGTGTAGTGTCGTAACGGTTCGGTATGGTTCCAAGCCATTTCCATTAGGCCAGATCAATGGAACCAGCACTTTTTAGTACCTACTTCGTTGTGGTTCTAACCGTTCCCAGCTGACACCAAAATGTGACGTCAGAACACTGTCACTGATTGGCTAATTTTTGCAAATGTTCAAAATTTCAAAAGTTATTCATCAAATGTGTTTCCATCTCTCATTATGCCCATTATTTTTTATTCAAATTACCTAAACACCACCTCCACCAACCGCCCAAAATACACCCATTGGAACCGGACTGGAACATCAGTGGAAAACCAACCAGTCCGACCGGTACCTACATCGACCATTCCAACACTACACTCAGTGGCACTTATTTACTTACTTACTTATAACATGCAGAATAGTGGTCCTTGACCAGGATTGAGAACCATTGCTCTAGTGTGTTTGAAGGGATGCTCTGATCGATTGTCATACCTCAGATTCAGGAAGACCAGTGTGGCTTCTGTCCTTGATGTGAAACAGTGGATCAGATCTTTACTCTTGCACAGCTGCTAAGGGGGTTGTGTGAGTTTGCTTCCCCAGTCTTTATGTATTTTGTGAACCTGGAGAAGGCTTATGACCATGTTCCATGGCAAAAATTATCTGGCTCATCTGTGGTTTAATCTCGTCTTACGAGATCAGTTTGAGCTTTCTGATATTCGTATCATTGTGTGATCATTTGTTTCTGATGTAGGGGTCACCTCTAGTGAAATTATCAAGGAAACTGTCTTGGACTCTCAGTCCTCTGATGGGCCTGTAAGGGAGAAAAACTCTGTTTCACTTAGAACTGAATGTAGGCCACCTCAGGTCGCCTTAACCTTTTGTTGTGGAATACTTATTTTCTGTATCACCTGGACACTGTCCACTTGTTCCTGTTTCCTGAAGATAYGAACACTTGTTCATATCTTGTGATATCCTTCCGGACGTCAGCATCAAGTTGACCTATTTCCGTGTATCAGGATGGGCAGGTTCTGATTGGTTGTTCATTATCACATGACGATAGCTGACAGCATAACATTGCTTGCCCGGCCTATGACAGGGGGGCCCACATATTACAGACTTCGTGATTGTCTTCTGTTCCATGT